TAGAGTGTGTGGGGACTCATGGGCCTGCACACTTTTTTTTTTCCACTTATCCAGGCCAGATCTAACCTGATTCAACTAATCAAAGGCTATAGGTGATTAGTTGATTTGTTAAATCAGGAATAGCCTATAGTGCTGGGCTAGAACAGTGGTCCCACTCCCCAAACGGTCCTTTTTCGAACAGGCATGCGGGGTACAGGCTGCTCTCGCGCGCTTCCAACACAAGGTGGTGTTGTGGTATTTGAAACGACATGAGGAGAAACTATTGACGCCCGCGACTGCCTGTGTCATGGCTTTGAAAAATACGAATTATTAGCAACACTTTATATGAAGTGTCCTTTAGCCATGTATAGGTTATTGACTTCTAAAATATGTGTAATCAGAATATAATTAGGCCTATGTGTGCGTGACTCCAGATAAGCGATCCTACATTACATTTACGTCATTTAGCAGAAGCTCTTATCGAGAGCGACTTACAGTTAGTGAGTGCATACATTTTTCATATTGCCCCCCGTGGGAATCGAACCCACAACCCTGGCGTTGCAAGCGCCATGCTCTACCAACTGAGCTACAGGAGGCCTACATAAAATATTGATTTAATCAAACTGTCCAAATTCTGTTTCAATGTCTCAATTGATGGTTCTGTGACTGATATTGTATAGTAGGCTAGGTAAACCATAAGAAAAAGAAAGTAATGGCATTAGTGCAACTTCTAAAATGTTGAGTGTAACCCAGTTATAAACTAATTCAAACGAGCGTCAGAGTAGGCCGCCTGCAATAATAATAGGCTTTACAAATTGAGTATGTTCAATTAATGGCTATAGCTTAACATATACTGGAATATTGATTCATTAGAAAAACAATTATAGTATGCCTAACATTGACGATGATAATATGAATAGGCCCAGTTATTAACATTATTATTCTAATATAATTATTTTATGATGTATACATAAGTAGGTCTATGCAATAAGGGTAATTGTAAGAGAACTAAGTGTGATGGAAAATTGGGACATTTAATATTGCGATATGCGGCATTGTATCAACATACCATCACGAATAGCCACCAAAACTACAATAGAACTAATGCAAACGTAACGCAAGCAGAATTGCTTAAAGAAATTATGCTCGCATTGCTTTATAAAGGCTATGTATCCAATTTCCATTAAGATGGACCATGCTATAGCCCATGGTCATGCAGTCTATTTTTGTATTGTGCCACTAAAAGGAATGCTCAACTTTGAGCCAATAGGTAAACTGTAGTAAATTGAACAATCATTTTCGGATTTTTTTTCCAGACATAGACACACGTTTCACATTGCCTGTAGATAATAGGCCAGACTTTGATGCGCTGCCACTCAAGTAGTCAGTCGCTTAAATAAGGGTATAACCTATGGCCCATATGTTGATAAAGAATTGGAAATATGTAATTATAGTTTAAGTTTGCAGTTGTCTAAAAAACACTATTTTGCTCAAAACATGTTTGTTTACACTTTAGTGTGTGTATGCCTACTTTACTGTATTTATCCTTGGGATATCGCTTTTCAACAGTAAAAGTTCAAAAATCGCTGGAGGACTTCTTTAATGCTTGTAATCGAATGGTTTTACGTTCTCACAAAATCAGGATGTTCATTTGCTTATTGCCTATGCATTTGCCTATGCGTTAATGGCATTACCAGGACAGACATGTTCATACCAAACAGCGTACATTCTGAAACATTAGACTGCAAAAAACATGGCATCGTGAATATTTTTACGAATATAATATTCTGATTACCCACCACGGTGTAGTGATCCGCTTAATATTTTAAGAGGAAATAAGTATACTCTACAATAGACTATAGGCCTACCTCTTTTTGAAGATAAGAAACTAGTATAATATATTATCATTATTTTAAATACATTCAGATGAGTAGAGGAAGCATCCTAAACGTGTCTGCCTCGATACCGTTGAATAACTTCTTATTCATTGTACTTGTTTATTTATCGATGTATTTGTGTTTATATTACCACAATCCCAGACAGGCACTAAAATAATTGCCATCCTTCTCCCTTGACAGTGGGATCTGGCGCCTATGAGGGGCAAGAAACGAAATAGTGTTTCTGACCTCGCTACCCGTTGTGAGCCTTTGGAAGATATAGACAAGCGAGTTTTGTTTTCTTTTTGGCTCCAGGCAAGATAGAGAGGGGGAACCGAAAGAAAGACAGTCTTCTTGAAAGAACCGACAGATCCCCTTTGGCTCTTTTGTGTGAAGTTTTTCACCTTTCAGACGGAGCGTTCATCCGTGTGATTCTCAACTTATTGTCATCACTTATTTATTAATTGATGCCTCCTGGGTGAAATAGAGGGGTGAGTGACTCGCCCCGAGGCACTTTACAGGCCTATAGCAAAAAATGGCAGGACAGTGTAGTCCTATAACCTAATATCTTCGAGCGAATCTCGGGCCAATTCAACTTCACAATAACATAAAAGCTATAGCCTATACATCTATTGTAGTTTATCCGGTAAAATAAGCGTTTTTTCTTCGCCCACAGAAACGAGTGGCCTTGTTTACAATAACTTCGTGTGAATGCTGAAGGAGTGAAGGAACGGAAACACAAGCAAGGAAGAACTGTTATACGTCACCCTCATTGACATTTTAGGAATAAAAGTTCTGCCTTGCCTGCAGCTATAGTCTCGCTGGAGCCGGTGTTCCTCTGCTGCAGATTGCCTTTGTTCATTATAGCAATTATTTTACTCCAATTTAAACCCTGCCTGAATGGTATGACCGGTTAAAGCCGCCTCTAAACTTTGGAGCGGGCTGTAATTCGCCCACATTAGTTTCCTATTTTGCTAAAAGTCTTCGTGATTGCAGCAATTGACATGGGCATTTATTAGGTTTTGAAAAATCTTTCCTCTCTGCCCAATTGAGGAATGTCAAGTAGCCTGTATTTATGTGTCGAATGACACACGTCTGCCTAACACCGTAAAGTGGCTTCTCCATAACGTAGGTGTCACCTAATTATAGTCGATAATGACATTCCACCAAATCGTTTACAGGCAATTTAGCCCTAGACTCAATCTCTAATGTGTGTTTTGAAGTCCGCACAACTGATGGTTGTAGATGTTGGTCCCCCCTGTGCTTTCCTGGCGCCAACAAAATCTGGGTGATTTATTTCAAAGCAATGGGCAACAGCTGTAGAAATACATTCTGCGTTTTGCTCATTGAAATGACATTTGACAGGTCTAATTCATAGCTGTAACACTTACACTGCAATGTTCAAGAAACTGCTGCTCTTTCACAATTACAAAAATGTGGGTGAAAGACATTATAAGCAGGCTACCCCATAGTGTTTACCCAGAGAAAGCATGCATTACATTTGCTTATATTCAGTCTTTGCATAAACGTCTGTGTGTGTGTGAAGGTTAAAAAGTGTGTGTTGAAAAGGTTTCTGCCTTTTTAACTTAAAAAAGCTATACTTTCAATTAGGCTATTTTGCCAAAATGATAGTGGAAATATCAGGCTTAAGTCCTACTTCGATTGTTTTTACGTACAATAAACCATATCATTCAGAACCCACATTTTGAAGAAACCTACGTTTTGTTGATGAAGTTCATGGATAGAAAAATTAAATAACATTTAAGAGTAGATTGGTCTGAAATATAGCCCACTGGGCACAGACTTCAATTCAACGTATATTCCACGTTGGTTCAACTTTCGTTGAAATTACTTGGAAACAATGTTAATTCAACCAGTATGTGCCCAGTGGGAGACTACTCTTCCTCACATTTCCCCGGATGATAGTTATTTTCCCAACATATAACTAATTTTCCCTGCATGTTTGTTATTTCTCTACATATATGTAATGGTCCCTGCATGTTAGTTATTTTCCCTACATAAATGTAATTGTCCCTGCATGTTAGTTATTTTCCCTACATAAATGTAATTGTCCCTGCATGTTAGTTATTTTCCCTACATAAATGTAATTTTCCCTGCATGTTAGTTATTTTCCATACATAAATGTAATTTTCCCTGCATGTTAGTTATTTTCCATACATAAATGTAATTTTCCCTGCATGTTAGTTATTTTCCATACATATAACTCATTTTCCCTGCATGTTAGTTATTTTCCATACATATAACTCATTTTCCCTGTATTTTTATTATTTTCCCTATTACAAATAGTCTTCCAGTAGCCTGTAGTTTTCCAACCACTGTCTACACTCATTGAACATTGAACTCGATATTTTCTGACTTGGAAACCAAATCATTATGGTTACTAAACTTTCAGAAGTGTAAGAAAACCCTGGTGCAATGTATTAAATACTCAATAACTGCTGGCACGTTCGAGTTTCAATTAGGCCTACATAGCAGAATATGCTAATCTAGTCATTTGTACTGTCAGTCAACACGAACAACTGCTCAATGAAAAGAATAAACAATTTATTGTTAATTTATGTCACAAATATATTCAATATAAATGAGGATATTTTTCAAATATACAGTATTTTACAGTACACAAATCCCTTCTGAAGGGAATCATTCAAACAACAGACAGTGCTGTTATAAAAAATGCTGGGGTTCTTCTAATTTAACAAAGAGCGTTCATTGACTTTGGATTCAGTAACCCACTATTTTTCGCATTGACAAAAATGCAAGTGAAAAGTATAGCTTCTTAGTTATCCTTAGTCTGTAGTGACAACAGTCCACATTAGTGATGAAAGCCCAACCTACCTTTGGGTATTATGTGTGTTGGTGCAAAACCCCATGCTGGTGCGAAGAACTTTGGGATGGTTCTAACTTTTGAGTGGACTCGGGTAGCCAGTGAGAGCTTTAGTGACCCAATAATCAACCGTGGCATCAAACTAATGGCAAAGTAGATGTATATACTTGACATACCGAGGAAAACATAGCACTACTTACTACAAGGCAGTCCTTACTTATGACTATCCAGTCGAAATATGCAACACCAGATAGTATTTTGGCGAAGTAGGTCTACACAAAATATGTCCTTCCTTCACGTCAGGCGAGGTGATACATGCTGTATCCGACATGAGCAGCATACAGTCCCATGGGAGACACCGGCAGGGAGTGCCTCTGAAAGTGGTGCGACCCTCCATAAGACGAGGGGACGTGCGCACCGAACGGAAATGAAATCCCGAACGCTGGAGGCAGCATTGGCTTGGCTGCCATTTTCAGTTTTTCCAGTTCTGCCTCCTGGAGCCTCTTGGCTTTGGCTCTTCTGTTCTGAAACCATATTTTCACCTGCGTCTCCGTCAGGTTGAGCGAGCTGGAGAACTCTGCGCGCTCGGCGATGGAGAGGTACTGCTTCTGTCGAAACTTCCTCTCCAAAGCCAGGAGCTGGGACGTGGTGAAAGGGGTCCGGGGCTTTCTGTTGGTCTTGTGCTTTCTCAGTGGACAGGAGGGGGGACTTAGCCTTCCTGCAATAACCACGACAGAAAACATCGTTAAAACCCATGCTTTCAAGGTGACGGACATGGACGAATTGTGTTGTTTTTATGTACAGAATTAATAATAAACAGCATGATTTTAACATATTAATTCGTTAAAGCAGATACGTGCTTAAACTGCAATGATATAGGACAAACTAAAAACTACCACACTCAATACAACGTTGCTATAAATCATGCAACACTTTTCACCTAATTGCATCCTGTACAGGTCTATGCGCTATCGCAGTTGATTTTACCCACACATTATGGAAGGATAAATAGAAAGAAAAAGCTTACGTGGAGGAGTAGGCGAAAAGCGAGGGCTCTGTATCCACGAATTTCGGTCTTGACTTTCTGGACTCTCGGGTTTAACCAATGCGTCCTCTTGCATGTTCATAATGTCGCCTACTGAGAACGGAGACCCGATGTCCAAGGAGGAGTCCGAGTTATCCAGTCTCGAAAGCGAGCCCATCCTTGAGCCTAGCGCCAGGGACGTCCCCGACATGGATGATCTTTCTGGAGATGTCAAGTCTCTGCTCGGTTTCCTGTCAGCCATCAGAGCCTCGACGCTGAAGGGAAGAATCGCTACTTTGGGCTTGATCCCTGTCTCCTCCGCCACCCTGCTCAAATTGGTCTGCATCTCTCCTCTGCCAACGAGACCCGAACGAGAGGGATTGTCTTCAGTTTTCAAGCCAACGGATAAAGCTGACATGGCAACAGTTGGGGCCATACAGGTTCGGCCTTTACTTGGGGGTAAACACTCAAAGTATTGAAAAGTTGAGTCACAGAAATTGCTGGGGTGCTCTTACACTACTGGCATCGTCATGTTTATCTGAACACTGGTGAGCACTGCTATAAGGCAGTCGTAGGGACGCCACCGTCCAATCAGATGTGAGGTGGGTGGGACGTAGAGATTCCATTCGATTAGAAAGGAATCTCAGCTAAAACTGATGTGATGCTTGGTTATTTGATTGGCAGGGGAAAGTAAACAAAGTTAGGCTACATTTTACAACTTCAAATAAACAATGCTTGTGCAAATACTTAATTTGGAATGGTATAACATACATTTTCAAGATGTATTACTTTTTCAATACGATAATTTTTCAATAAGATCATTTATATTACACATTTGAATATTCTTACAATTATTGATGTTATTATTATGGCAGTGGTACTCTTGTAGTATCGGTAACTGTGGTTATTCCTGCTTGTGCTGTCACAAAAATAGGCCCATCAGAGAACGCTATAAGTGTCATGTTATATTGAAGTTATTATCAAATCATTATACAGGCTGCTATAGCCTATATAGGTTTTTATACTATTTACTTATCTCATGTATTGTACGACTTTATTCTGCTATTATGTTCAACAGTTAAAGTGAAATAGAAACTCTCGCATGTTGCCCAACATTTACTGCCTTTCTTTATGTGATCGGCCTCTTGCAAAGCAATTTTTATTGATGGCTGCAGGGCTCTAATCATATTGAAACACACAGGCCTTCGCAGTCATTTAGGGGTAATTATCCGACTTGGGGGAGGGATCACTGGGATCTTTCCATTTGACTACATCCATTAAAGTAAAAAATGATGTGGAATCAAGGAAGGGGGTGGAGGCAACCATGGAGCCTATGTTCAATTTAAACTAAGGCTGTCATTGATTTACCTGTCTACTCTGCATATACTTGAATCGTCCTATTCTAATAGATATATGTGTATCAGGTTTTTTATATAGCGAGATACAACGCTTACTCAGTTGTTTGGTCTCCATTATTTATCTGAAATGGTTTAATGACATTGACGTGTCATGAGGAGTAGGCTATTCTTTTTCTTCATTTTCTCTTCACTAAAATGAAGCTCGGCTCATGCAAACTTAATTGTGTACGAAAATCACGAATTTAACTATTACCATTTCGTGCAGTCTATTTAGCTCTCTGGAAAGCGTCTGCGTCGCTAATTGCTAAGTATAAACAATCTGTCACGATTTGTCAGTCCCTCTAATAGGCAGACAAGTTATGTTGTTTTTAGGCGCCAGCAGCGGCATGATCAGAGGGTATGACTTTAGGGAGACTATTGAAAGTCTTTAACCCGCATCAAGAGCGCAACCCGCCTCCTCCTTGCCCGCCCTAGCCTTGGGACATTACTATTCAGCCTGAAAAATTAGCTTTCTCAGCCGATCGCACGCCATTCCCAACTATTTAAATGGGTCGCTATAGCTAGTGTAATAATAGGCTACTCAGAAGAAAAGGTCAATGCTTCCCAATCCCACTACTTATTTTCAGAGAGCCCCTTGCTGAAAAGGATTCCTAGGAAGCAACGTATCTAGGTTTCCCTACAGTGGTTAGTAGGCCTAAGGGGAACATGGTGATTTAGCTCTGAAACTGTCTCAAGTCCTGAGAGTTAATTCTTGTTCTATCTTGCGTAACTACACCATTCAAAGTGACACGATTTAGGAGTGACAGTTGAGTTAGCCTATCAATTATTTATACTGCTGTTAGGTATGTTATACCTGTAATATCTACCTTCAACTGTGAATAGTTTTGTTTTGGGATCAACAGGCTATTCATTGCTTATATAACTAATACAATTACACGCAAATGGATAATTTAGCATTTCCTTCATTCTACATCCAGTGCTCAGGGGGAAATACATCTGCAACTATGTATGTTTTTGGAAACACTTAAGCCCATAACCAAGAATGAGTGGCACTGCGTGTTCACCGCGTGCTCTCTTTGAAGTCACTGGGATCTCATGTGTTCCACGTCTGTTTGAAGTTGAGTCCCAGGACGAGCGCCTGCTCGCGGCTCGCACGCACTTCTCCTTCTTCGAACACGCACTCGTAAAATGGTCCGCGCGCGTAAACACAAATAGGCACACATGATATACAATGACTCCTCTGGTCAAGCGACTGCATCCGTTCTTGACGCTTTAATCGATGTATTTCACCAGATCTGGGGACACAGAAAGAGAAAGGAGCGACTTTGTTTGTGAAATCTCCCCTTGAAGTGCGCCAGAGTGCTGTGTAAAGACTATCTTCCTTGTTTACTTGAGTTTATTTGCGTTGTGAACAGAGGGATAGTGGTGGAGGAAAACAATGTTTGGGGCAATTAGCATCCCAAACACTCTGCCCTTTCAAAATAATAATGTGCCAGGGAAAAGAGGATTACCATACCGTTTCATTTAAATTCCAAGGCAACAAATGAGGGCTGAGCTGCGATACAAAACAACTGTAAGCCCCATCTGAGCTTTGTTTAACTTTCTAAACTACCTTTGATTTGGAGTCAAGAGGCAGGGAGGCGAGACAAAGAGCCATTGTGGTCCCCTCTGAAAGTTGTCTTAACCCTTTTCATGCATAGTCTGACAGTTTTTACTTAAAATACATAAAAGTCACTGCTGATGTCAATAGGCATTTAAGGCAAAATATTTGCACTTGGTGAAAGAAAATGACTTTCATCTGGACATTTTCAGATTTTAAAACCAAACATCAAGTTGCTTGTGAACATGATAGCTTATTTTCAATTTTGCTGATGCTTGTGTGAATGTTGAACTATTTGGCAGTGGCAGGATATCCTAATATTATGGTGCATTTTGGTGCATTGTATAAAATAATCAATGAGTGCACATACATTCAATGCTTTATGGACATGCTTTATGGACATTTGATGCTTTATGGACACAACAACCCCAAATGGGTTGTCTCACTGACTCTCAAACTCTGGCAAATTTTTGTGATGACACATTCCCTGATCCGGTCTCTTTAAGAAATCACAGTGCTTAGCCCAGAATGGAATGCCCCATTTTGAGTGGCCTAAATTAATTTGATCACCACATTATGGTGCACTTCAGAAAGATGAAAGGGACAGCCAACAGCCTCCTCCAATATCTCCATAATTATAGATCATGTATCCTATTTCAATGCAGTTAGCTCAGTCAGGCTAAAGAGGCACTTTGCTGCCAGTAAGTAACAATCAAAGTCATATATATATATATATATATATATATATATATATATATATACAGTGAGGGAAAAAAGTATTTGATCCCCTGCTGATTTTGTATGTTTGCCCACTGACAAAGACATGATCAGCCTATAATTTTAATGGTAGGTTTATTTGAACAGTGAGAGACAGAATAACAACAAAAAAATCCAGAAAAACGCATGTCAAAAATGTTATAAAATGATTTGCATTTTAATGAGGGAAATAAGTATTTGATCCCTCTGCAAAACATGACTTAGTACTTGGTGGCAAAACCCTTGTTGGCAATCACAGAGGTCAGATGTTTCTTGTAGTTGGCCACCAGGTTTGCACACATCTCAGGAGGGATTTTGTCCCACTCCTCTTTGCAGATCTTCTCCAAGTCATTAAGGTTTCGAGGCTGACGTTTGGCAACTTGAACCTTCAGCTCCCTCCACAGATTTTCTATGGGATTAAGGTCTGGAGACTGGCTAGGCCACTCCAGGACCTTAATGTGCTTCTTCTTCAGCCACTCCTTTGTTGCCTTGGCCGTGTCTTTTGGGTCATTGTCATGCTGGAATAACCATCCACGACCCATTTTCAATGCCCTGGCTGAGGGAAGGTAGGTTCTCACCCAAGATTTGACGGTACATGGCCCCGTCCATCTTCCCTTTGATGCGGTGAAGTTGTCCTGTCCCCTTAGCAGAAAAACACCCCCAAAGCATAATGTTTCCACCTCCATGTATGACGGTGGGGATGGTGTTCATGGGGTCATAGGCAGCATTGCTCCTCCTCCAAACACGGCGAGTTGAGTTGATGCCAACACTTTCACCCAGTTCTCCTCTGAATCATTCAGATGGTCATTGGCAAACTTCAGACGGGCCTGTATATGTGCTTTCTTGAGCATGGGGACCTTGCGGGCGCTGCAGGATTTCAGTCCTTCATGGCGTAGTGTGTTACCAATTGTTTTCTTGGTGACTATGGTCCCAGCTGCCTTGAGATCATTGACAAGATCCTCCCGTGTAGTTATGGGCTGATTCCTCACCGTTCTCATGATCATTGCAACTCCACGAGGTGAGATCTTGCATGGAGCCCCAGGCCGAGGGAGATTGACCGTTTTTTTGTGTTTCTTCCATTTGTGAATAATCACACCAACTGTTGTCACCTTCACACCAAGCTGCTTGGCGATGGTCTTGTAGCCCATTCCAGCCTTGTGTAGGTCTACAATCTTGTCCCTGACATCTTTGGAGAGCTCTTTGGTCTTGGCCATTGTGGAGAGTTTGGAATCTGATTGATTGATTGCTTCTGTGGACAGGTGTCTTTTATACAGGTATCAAGCTGAGATTAGGAGCACTCCCTTTAAGAGTGTGCTCCTAATAACAGCTCGTTACCTGTATAAAAGACACCTGGGAGCCAGAAATCTTTCTGATTGAGAGGGGGTCAAATACTTATTTCCCTCATTAAAATGCAAACCAATTTATAACATTTTTGACATGTGTTTTTCTGGATTTTGTTGTTGTTATTCTGTCTCTCACTGTTCAAATAAACCTACCATTAAAATTATAGACTGATCATTTCTTTGTCAGTGGGCAAACGTACAAAATCAGCAGGGGATCAAATACTTTTTTCCCTCACTGTATATATATATATATATATATATATATATATAGATGGCTCTGGTAACAATGCCTCATGGTCATTTAAGCTTCAAAAGGTCATGCAGTCGCCAAAGCTTGCAGGCTTGTCTGAAATCTGGTTGGCAGGTTTATGTCCGAAGT